CCAAAGAGAAGTTAAAGACATAACAACATTTTATAAACTGAAGTGTGGTTACTATAACTATTCAGTTGAAAGATATTTTGAATTTTGCTCAGACAAAAGATTAAGGTCATATTCTAGTAATAAGTTGAAGATTAACCAAGTCAGAACCGAATTATTCAAAGGCACTTTTTTCAATAGATTACAATATTTATGGAACAACGTGCCTGATAAACTCAGGACCTCTAGTTTAAGCCTATCATTATTTAAAAAACAATGAGTTCTATAGTTCTTCGACCCTGACCACCCATATGCCACTTGGATGTAGTGATCGATGTAACAATTATTTTCTGATCAGATTAATCTAGGATATGACATATTATCAATTATAGTTTTTACATTTAAGATATAATTTTAATGTTTTTTTTTCTTTTTCTTTATTTAAGTGTCTGTTGTAGTTTTTGGGTGGACTAGCTCGAATGGTTCGTATGTTCCCTTCTAGTCCGTAGTTCCCCACTGCAATAATTTTTTTTTCTAGTATGTAGTTTTTGTTCTCTTATGTAATTTTGCTAAGTTTTCTCTTTTACAGTGGAAATGGAATAAATTAAATTAAATTATCAAAAATTAACGAGGAGTCCGTATTAAGCGGGTTGAATGTAAAGAAAATGTTAGGGAAAAATAAACTGTCCATAATAATGAGGTGCCGGTATTAAGCAGGTGTCCAGTTAAAGCTCGGATCGACTTTTGCGTAGGTATGTCATACGAATTCGCGAGGTCGTAGAGACGAAAGGACAAGCCGAAGTAAGTGTTAAATGGGGATAGCAACCACCACGACATATCAAATGGAATCTACACAAACTGAGAAAGAAACTTCTTTATTATTTAAACTATAGTGTTTTACAGGGATTTCTGCTACTGAGAAAAATCTTAACTCAGGGCAAACGTAAACTAAATACCGCTCGATAATTTTACGTGAGTTAATATCGGCCAGTCATTGACCGCCTACTTGTGTTTCGATGTGTTACTACAACACCCATCTTTGCTTTTATTACAAAGGTTCTTTTAAAATTCTAAGAGATGAAAAAGGACCTAAATACTAAAGAGTCAGACTTTTTTTCTTATCTTTTATTGAAACAAGCACAAGATATTGGTTTTTATTATATGAAGGAGAGTGTTTTACTGGGAACTAAACCACTCGTAGATTCCATACGCCACTTCATCCGGGACCCGAGTGGCGTATTTTCCGTATGTCACCTTTGTGAGTGTCGTATCGTTCAATGACGTCATGATTCCCGCCTTTTGCTTTTGTTGAATTGGTTTCTCCATATAATAAAAAGAACATTACACGTTGGCTCGAAGATATGAATTTTATGTTCTCGTGGCAAGAACAATATCTCACTCGTTCGCTTCGCTCACTCGTGAGATATTGTTCTTGCCACTCGAACATAAAATTCATATCTTCTCGCCACCGTGTAATATCCTCTATATATTATGAGCAGAAAAATACACGATTTTTACATCAATTAGATTCATGCTGTCTATCGGGTCTCGTTGGGCTCGAGTAGCCATGCAGTTACAGAGGATGTCAAAACTGGCAAAACAAAATATTTTCCTTCATTTTCAATTGCTGTTCTAACCCTCGAGAACAACATCACACACAAAATTGAAGAAAAAAACAATTTTAACGATTAAATTTTCAATTCAAACAATTGACATTTACAAAGGCTGATAGGATTCTGCTGGAATTGAATCGAGCTAATTTTCTTGATATTGTTTGGGTAGGTTTCTTTTGTTTTTCTTCATAAAGTGAGCCATGTAGACAGGAAACATCGACAAAAGCAAATACAAGTGATCATCTAGGCAGATAAGTCGACAGGAGAGATGAAGCTGTGAGACATCAACCGCCTTGATGCTGTAGTATCGTTGTAAGACTTCTATGACCAAAAACCCATATAAAACGAAGTTCAAAACAGGGCATGCTTGATTAACTCGAAAACAAACTTGAAGAAATTTCAACTCTGGTTTTGAAGCTTTAAGTCTGTTATACTTCACTAAGCCGATGTATATAGAGGCCGTGATGCAAACGCATATTGGTATGAAAGTAAACACTACCACAGTACCAAGAAGAGTAGTTTCGGCTTCTTCTGCTCTTTCGGCATTAGCGAGCGATAGACCAAAACAGTTTTCATTCTTGCAAAACACATCTCGGCGTCCAAAGAAATGAAACAACGCGGTGCAAACTACCAAAAAAACCGCAATAAACCGTTTGGAGTTTAAAGTTTGGCTGTAGTAATTTCCCATGGCTATGGACAACACCAATGCTGCGAGGCAATAAATCGAAAGGAAAGAGGAGATTGTCGACAAGAAAAACCAAACCTGCTGGTTAGAGAGCTCGGCGCCGGCATGAGTGATGATATTCCAAATGTTTAGAATAAACTGCAATGATACAAGTTGACGTTGATCAAGACTCGATGATTTCTCAGCACCGCGAAGACGAAGCCATGCATATACATTGTTAGCGAAG